TGGGTCTGACTCAGCTCATCCCCCCCCGCCACCTCCTGCCTATGAAGCTGCTCGTCCCAATGATTCCTCACCTCTTCTATTCCCGTGCTCACCCTTATGCCTTGCCAAGATGCTTCACCTTCTCCAGCTCCTTGTTTGTTCGAATGTGTCGCCTGGGTGAAGAACATAGAACAAAGGAACCAAGTCGCGTGCTGCGGTCACGCTCTTTCTTTCTGTCTCTCTCTCTCTCTCTCTCTCTCTCTCTCCCTCTCTCTGTCTCTCCCCCGATTGAATGCCTGGGACCCTTGGCCCCCAACAAGAACATCTCCAGCTGCACATTGACGAAGGCGCCCATGTCGTCCTTCGCCTCTGCAGCCTTCAGCCGGGACTCCCCGAACCAAGCCTCGCACGCAATCCCCGGCGGCCACATGGGTCCGGCGAAGACGGTTTTTGTTGCAGCGCCTCCTGCGCGCGCTGCAGCAACATGTACTTGGTCTTCGGGTCCAGCTGCTCAAACTCCTACAGAAAACTCGGGGCTGGGGGGCAGTGCCCGCCCCGCAACCGGCGTGTCGGCCGTTTTTTTTTTTTTTTTTTTTTTTTTTTTTTTTTTTTTTTTTTTTTTTTTTTTTTTTTTTTTTCCCGTTTTGTGGCTTTGCTCCTCCAACGCCACCGGACCGTCCAGGGGAACTGTGACGATGCCACCCCCCGGCACTGCATAGCCCTGGAGATCAAGGCTGAGCTCACACGCACCGTGCAAGCCATGGCGGTCCGAGCCAGGATTCCATTCCTTTTCCGATGCCAGCCTCCCCCAAGCGGATTTCGCTACACGTGAGAAAAAAATAGGGGACACCCAAAGTGATGGTTCATTTTTCCCCTTTAAAGCCACCCAAGAAACGGAAACGGACACCCATGTCAGGCTTCCGGATAGGACATGGCGGCCGTGCGACTTGGCCTTCCACTCGTCCGGCTGGCGCATTCTGCCCCGAGGCCGCCGGTCTGGAACCTGCCTCGCAGCCCATGGCTGGTCAAAGGAAACCACAAAGGACGACTGGACATGCCGCAAATGTGCACACCTTAGCAAAATCAATCTTGATTCGCAAATGGTCAAGTTCACCTTGTTAGCCCTGGTTGCATCCTGGCTGGGGGCAAACGCGGAGAGCGAAGCAGTGCCGCAAAATGCCGCAACAGGCACCTTGAAACCACCAAGCTGCGGGTGACCCGGGTGCCGGACACCAACAGCGATAGCGATAGCGACGACGACGACGGCCACCACAACAGCAGCAGCAGCAGCAGCAGCAGCAATCACCAACCACCATCAGCCCTTTGACAGCAACGACGACAACCATAACAGCAACAGCAACAAGAAGAACAATAACAAGAACACGAAGAAACACAACAAAAATAACAACACAACCATCAGGAACAAGAACAACAACAAAAAAACAGAACCAGAAGAACGATAACAACAAGAACAAGATGGACTTGATAACAATAACCACAACAATAACAACTTACCCAACAAGCACAGCCGCCACAACCACAACCGCTACAAGAGACAACATGTACGCACATTTGCTCATATGTACTTACACACGCGCATCTGAAGGGAGCCATCGCCATGCTCCAAACGAGTGCTTTGATACGAGTCCGCACCGCATATGATCATGTAGTTGGTGCAGTGCTGCGTTGTTTTGGCAGCTGTTGCTTGAATCCATCGGGCGCTCCGCCGCTCTGAGTCTCTGAGGCTTTGGCAGGATGTCCCTCAGCGGCTCCTGCGGCAGCTCCGGCACCACCACCTCCGCCACGCCCCGACGACTCGCGAAGGTCTGGAAGCCCGGCACCACACCCACGCGGCGCCGGCCTCGGCCGCTGGTTGGCTCAAGAGTCACACCAAGGAGGGGAAAGGGGGAGGAACGGGTGAACAATGGGCTGTTGCACATTGTTGGCTGAGTCAGTTGCCCCTGAAACCAAAAAAACGCAGGCGCCGAGAGCTGGTGCACATCTTGACCGAACCTCACATGCGCTGGACCTCATGATGCACCGGCACGTTTCTATTATGTTGTGTGTCCTCCCTCATGGCGCCCGCAATCAGCGGGCACATGTTTGGCTGAATGTGCCCGTACATGCAGGCTAATGTTGACATACAGCTGTTTGAGTATCATGCCGGAAGCTAGCGATGGCATGATTTCGATTCTCGGTGTGCCAGGAACAGCTTGCTCGGACACCGCGCGCGCAAAATCCCCGCGTCTCTTCGGTTGGTCCGAGGCGCGGCGCGGCGGGGCCTCTGCAACAGACTCCTGCCAGGGGCATGGCAAACATCGGGAGCAAACGCCACGGCGCACCTTGCAGTCGCCCAGTCGCCCAGTCGCCCAGTCACCCGGTCAACCGGTCCTCTGACTCTGATTGGGCCTCTGTCTGCATCTCCGACTCCTGGGCGCTCAAAGCTCTGACCGACGAAGGCTGGATGCACCCTCTTAGGCCCCTTGCCTTGCAGAATCCAGAATACGTCAGGCCAAACAAAAGGATAAGGTGGTCTATTCCACCAAGGCGCCTGAGCCTGCGCATCCGGAAAGGCGTCCTCTGGCGCCGAAGCCGCGCCGGGCTCCCCGGCCGGCGCAGCTTCCCCCGCCTCCGCCCGCGCACGGAGAAGGTGCTGCTGCAGTTGGTTCCGCAGCAGGCGCTCCACCTAACTGAGACGATCTTGATGAACGTGTGCAAATTTAGGCACTCGTGACAATATCTTGATAATGTGCTTGGGGCCGCCAGAGCCGGTTCTTGTAGTGGAAACGACTGTCCGTGTGGGAAACTGGCGGGGAGTCCTGTGCTGAAGAAAAGCATTACAGGACGCGAGTGCAAAGTGATACTGAAAGTATGCAAAATGTTCTATTACTAGCGTTGGTATGGCATAAGCATGCAGTAATGATAGTGCGTGTTGGGTAGCATTTGAACTAAGCTTCACTATCAGCATTCTCCATCACTACTAGCATGAGGATTCCTAGCGCCAATGCTAGCGCCAGTGCTGATACACTCATTGTCGTTACTATTGCTCCTTTTTGGGGGAACTATTGCAGGCATTGACAAGTATTAGAATTGAACATGTTGTGCTGTCGATTCTGTTCTTTGTATTTGCTGTTTGCACCAGAAAGCATTAGCGACCATAAAAGTGCCAAGAATACGGACAGTGTGGCACTAGCAGTCAGAATAGTGAGAACGGCATAGCAGTGCTCCTGCTAGCATTGGTGCCAGCACTGGCATTCGTAGACACAGAAAGGCATATGCACATACTTGGTGCCAGTAGTGAGGTCAGGCACTCATAATAGTAGCCGTGGCAGAAGTAGAAAAGTCACCGCGGCAGCACCAGTAATAGAAGAAGCAGTGCCAGTTGTAGAAATGATGCGAATGCAAGTCCTGCATTGGCAAAACTAGAGTGCTGGTGCTAGCATTGGTGCTCATGGTTGTCATACCCCGCATGAGAGTAGCAGTGGCACTAGGAATCATAGTAGCGGTAGGTTCTCGGCACTCCTGTCACCTAGACCCTATACCAGAAGGAAACTAGGTGGCGCAACTTACTTGTGGGCAAGGACGGGGGGTGGCATTGTGCCCCCGACTTTCACCCAGCCGTACCGAAAAACGTCGGCGGATCTGTTGAGGCCAGGCCGCCACCTTGCGCCTCTGCCTCTCCTCCGAGGCCCGCTGCTGTGCTCGCAGCCTCAAAGTCTTCCACCTGGGCCGTCAGTTTGCTGTCCTTTTGCTGTCCAGTCTGATTTGACCAGTCTGGCACCGCGCACCTGGGCGGAACCTACTTTTCCCAGGCAGGCTCAAAAGGACAACCCCTAGAGCCAAGTTGGACTGATCTCACACTTCACGTCGGATCCAGCAACATGCCGGAAAACAGCCGGCCAAACACTTCGATTGAATGTCAACTTCCCTGCGCACCAGCATATTGTGCAGCATATCAGGGACCAATGCGCTTCCTGAAGCTGATCTTGGTTGATGACCACACACCCTGCGGCCATCTGTCCACACAAGCATCGATGCGCTTGCCGAGCTGAGCGGCTTCAAGGCAGGAGGAGGGCCATCAAAAACAAAGACCTGAGCTGGTGATACGCTTCGCAGCCTAGCAATGGCCCCGCTTCCGCCAAGGCGCAGGGCGGATCTTGAGGTACAGCCTTAGGATGCGCAGCGAAGGCAAATGGAGACAGGGCAAAGTGGCTTTGGACACTTGCAGAGCTTTGTGGCGAGATGCAGCTTGCAAATGCGCCGAAAGAAGCCAATCAAGTGCGCGCCCTTCACCATGTCACCTGGCCAAGGGCTCTCTTGCACCACCCACAGTGACACACCCACTCACACACACACACACATGCACACATGCACCATATTTCCAAAAAACCTGGGAGGGCAATGGGAGCCCTGAGCCGTGCAATCCCTGCCTTTCTCGTCTCGCATCGCCTTCCTTGACTCAAAGCAAATGACACGCATAGCACGCGCCAGGTGATGGCCAACCGACTGCCCAAAGTGAGTTGCAGTGACATCCCAAAGTCTTGAGCCAAGATGCAGGAAGTGGTACATCCAAATGCTCGCCTTTCTGCTCAATGCACGTCCGCTTGCTGACCGCATGGCCGCATGATGCCCATGGCCCGTGAAACAATGACATGTCCAAGTCGCATCGACGGCCACCACCTTGTTCTCCAGGGCAGTAAAATTCACCCGCTGCCCCGCAGGTGAAGCTAAATCCCACAAGCCTCGCGTTCGCTCTCGCAACGCAGGCCGCGACCCGGACAGGCAAATAGCAAAGGACCAAATTAACAAAAATGCCTGCGTCAAAAGAGGCAACGCGCAAGCAATCCGCTAGCCACGCCGAGCCTTGCACACCCATGGTGTCTGCAGTTCACCGGGCGTCCCATGCTGTCAGCGACTCCGACAGAATGACCGGAAGATTTCTGGCGTCAACTGCTTGGGCGGATGTGTAGATTTGCGGAAGTGGAAGTGGTATATCTATCGTAGGCGGTTGTGGATCTGATTGCTCCGCCTTGCTAGCTAGCAGGCTTGCTCGCTTGGCTTGCTGGATCACTGCAAGAGGGTCTTGCGATGGGTGAGGCTTTGATCTCGGCATTCTTTTGCTTGGTCCCCCCTGTGAGCAAGCATGCACTAGCAGGTGGCAAATGAGCATGAGGTTCAGAACAAGCAAGCCTTGCCTGGCGAATCAAATCCCTTAGCCCCAGCTGCCATGCCCCGTGTCCCATTCGTGCTGGGCAGGGTGCAGGATGCTTGGGCACTGGCGCGCCCTGCTTGCAGCAATCCTGCAGTTCAGACCTGCAGGTGTGGCGTTTGCATTGAATTGCGTGCCCTCTCTGGGAGATTGCTTGCTCCGTCTCTGCCTGCACCAATCGCTTGGAAAGATTGTAGCGCCTTGGAAAGCCCTAGAGAACAACCACGTTGCACGCCATGTTCACAGCGCGTTGCAAATCATCTGGGATGCCTGCCTTCTGCATTGTTGCCCAGCACGCCGTCTCCTGTCAAATACCTGCAAGAACATACCCTCCTGCCAAAACTGGACTGTTGGCAGCACCACCCTTGCAAGGTAACTATGGCTCTATCACCACTATTCACTGGCAGCACTCATGGAACCAACATCTAACTTGCCACCAGCGGTGGTTGGTCTCACGCGGCGCCCGGGGGTGCCCGGGTGCCCGGGTGGGTGGGTTGGTTGGTTGGTTGGTTGGTTGGTTGGTTGGTTGGTTGGTTGGTTGGTTGGGGGGCACAGGATGATGGTCCACAAAGGGCTGTCGTCATCCTCATCGATGTGGAAACCTTCAGCTCACCGAGCAGCTCGGAGCAATTTTGCACCTGAGCTTGTGGCCCTCGAAGCCGGGCCTGAAGCAATCGAGCACGTCGGAGAGTGTCAGTTGACACGCATCCCAAACAAGGGACTTTTATACACTATTGCCAGGGCAGGTTGGCTAACCTTTGGGGCTTGAAACTTTGGCAGCCATCTTGGCAATGATTCAGGTGTCGTCCAGATCAGGAGGGCCGCCGTCGGATGGGTCGAATCGATTGCGCTTTCGCGACAAGTCTCGGATTTCCCGGGTACCCGGCGCCCGCAGTCGCAAGCTAGCAGCTGTCTCGGGCAGGCGCACTGCCTGGTGCATGCCTCAACACAGGAGTCCCGAGCCAGGATAGCATTGAGAAGCCTGGGGCAGATCCAATCGAACTTCAAGCCCCCCACGCTTCACCACTGCGTTCAGCACGGAGCTTCTCGTCTCCTCATGGCTCACCCAGCGCTCCCGGGCGTCGCCTTGGGACTGAATGAGCGCCACCCCGGGGTGATGGTGTGCTGGGAAGCCACACCACGAAGCCAATGAACTTGTATCACACACACACATGCATATACAAATAACATGTCGGAATAGCATAGAGCCATCAGGGAGAGAATGACAACCGTGCCCGACTTCAAGGCATCACCGCTCATGAGCGCTGACTGGGATGGCTACCCAATAGGCTCAACAACAGCTGCACCTCCTCCTCACCCAGGAAATCCTGCAGGCTCATTGACGTGCGTGTTTCAGGTGCCAGTCAAACTGAAAGCAACGCCGTCCTCAATCAAATAAACGCTGGGCGCCTTCTGCGACAGCACTCGAAGCTCTCGGCTCCCGCCCCTGGGCGCGAGAACGCATTCGCGTTGAAGCCGCGGACACCATGAGGCCGGCGCGTTGGAACCAGTGGAAGTCCATCAAAGCCTTGCGGCATCACATCCCTAAGGGCGCTTGGGAGTCTTAAAGGGCCGGGCGGGCATCCAAAGGATGGATGAGCCGCTGGTAGGGCTGGTAGCCTTGAGATCTGTGAGGCCCCGGATTCTCGCAACTCGCAACTCGGCGAGGCACGGAACCATCTCTGTGCTATCCACTTCTCGCCTGGGCGAGCTGCCAGGGCTCTGTTTGAGACACATCCAAAACCTCACCCCAAAACGGCTCCTTTGAGTCAAGAGGCCCTGCTTTACAGGACACGCAGCATGTTCGGCCAGGATGTCCCGGTCACCGCCCTGCCAGCATGAGGCAGGGAGGCGCACAAGCAGACAGAGACAGAGGAGGAGGCAGAGAGAGAGAGAGATAAAAGACAGACAGACGGACAGACGTGTGGACAAACAGACAAAACAGACAAAACAGACAGACAAACAAGCAAACAGCCAAACAAACAGGCAGGCAGGGCGGAACAAATAAACAACACACACACACACACAAACACACGCATTCACGATCCGTGCACTATGCATCCGCGATCCGTCTACGATCCAGCCACGATCCAACCACGATTTGGCCACCATCCAGCCACAAGGCAATCGATGAGCCGCTGATCCGGCCGCAGTTCGGGAGCGATCCGGCAGCGATCCGGGCCACAGCCACGGTCCATCCACCCTCTAATCCCCGATCCATCCACCAACCTACCAGCATCAATGATCCATCCATCCACAATCCATCCATGTCCCATGCCATGACGCCCACACCCGCCCATGCTCCATTTGCAAAAGACCCGGCCATGTCGTGGTTGAAGAAGAGCACAGCTCGGCCCTTCTTGGCTGAGATCCGCAGCAGGTCCTCCCGATCCTCAGGCGTAGTATCACCCCTGCGCACGTTTCAGAACACCATAAGCTTCTCCTGGAGCATGGTCACGTACATGTGTCTAATGTGCAGTTACGCATGCTTGTAGCTTTGATGGTCCCTCATGAAGAAATGTCTCCCTCCTAGGGTATGGATTGTCGGGGTCTTTGGGCTTCAGTTAGGGCGGGAGCTTGATGGGTGGCAGCAGCTAAAGCGCTGGGCGAAGATGAAAACTGATCGCGGCTGTTGCGCAAGTGCCATCGGAAATTCACGGGGCCAACACCACAAGAAAAAGGACCATTCTCATGCAGATCACATCGCAGGTGTGGGCAGCCTAGTTCCCCCCCTTGCTCCTGACATTTTGTTTTCTGCGGACCTGCCGGCCCCTGACCCTGATTTATCAGCAGTGGCTTTCCAAAACATATTTATACCTAATTATTTTGATTGGAAACCCGCATTTCAGCCCGACTTTGCAACATCATGATTTCCATATTTCCGTTCCGGCTTCCCTTCAAAGAGCTGGCACGGAGCTTGGACGCTTGCACGCGCCAGGCACGTCTGTTTGTCACTCGGAGCCCCGCGCAGCAGTTCTGGATGCCAAACCTGGCACGTCTCGCAGCCCAAACGTGGGAGGGTTGTGCTCGTTTGCGGATATCTTTGACACTAAACTTGGCCCAGGAGTTCCTCCTGGCCGCCTTTCTAAACAAGAAAGATATTAAAGGGAAACCAACGAGAAACCAAAGGAAAACCAGAAGGAAACAGGAAGCCAAAGGAAAGCCAAAAGGAAATCACCCATTTTGAGTGAGGTTTTTCTCGAACAAAGACAAACCGACGTTGGCGCCTCTGGTTGCCCTCTGCATCACGCCGCCATCGCATGTTGCACTCCCGCCGGTGGCCTCGCATGTGAAACAAAAGTGTTGAAAGCGATTTGCTTCAAAGTGACCTTGCTTTAGAATCCACCAAGGATCTCTTGAGAAGCAACCCGGGATTCAGCACAAAGATTCGGTGAACGCCAAGCCGCTGAGGGGGAACAGTGTCTCACCACCCTCCTCCACGTCGTTCAGGTACCTCCGACGGGCAGAAAGCCTTTTCTCAGATGGAAGCCGCACAACGGATGCAGATCCTTGCTGAAACCAGACCTTGCTACAAGGGCTGGACACAAACAGAAGCCAAACAAAACTCTGCAGCTGCTATGACCCTGCTATGAAGCATGATGTGGCCTTCTGGCCTTCATTCCTACCGATTTTCAGCGCGAATCACCCACCTTCTGCGGTACAGGGTTTCCACGTAACGTCAAACCAGTCGGGGTGCGGCACACGATCATGGTCGCTGGTCCTTAGCAGCGGCCAAGTGGCACCTCCAAGGCGCCTTGGCTCAGGTCGGCTCTGGCGACGCCACTCCTCGGCTGAGCCAAGACCTGGCCCTAGAGAGAGAGCTTTGCAGCCAAGCTGCCGTGGGTCCGAGTCTTGGTGCGTCTCGTATTTCTCCTCAACACCTGAGACCAATGAGGGGTTGTCTTAGAACGGGGGGGGGGGCGGGGGAGGCCCCATCAATTCGCTTTTTGCCTTGGGCTGACTGCGAAATCACGCCAAGCACCTAGCTGTAGTGACCTGGCATGCCAAGTGCCCAAGGACAGAACTGCCGTGTTCGCTTCATCCGACGTGTTCCATCTGCAACGCGCCTATCTGCAAAGCCTCTGCATCATCCTCCGGGATGAGCGCTGCCCGGTGCATGCGCTTGAGGATGTGAAAGACTTCCTGAACCCACAAGGGTTTTTCTTGCAACTGCGTGGCATTCATAGTTTTCCAGGCCCAGACTGGGAGATCTCTTTCCTCAGTTCGGTTCAGCCATATCTGCTTGTTGTTCCGGACTTTGGCCTGCGCCCAATCAGCACAAACCTAGCCTGCCACGTGCAACGCACTCCTGCTGGTCGTACTTGTTCTCCTCCTTCTCTACCACCTTTGCAGGTTCCAGCCTGCCAGCCACCTGGCAAAAGGCCAGGAGAGATGGAGTTGACAGCTCCGTTGCCTAATTTGGGCACGTCGGGCGGCCGGGTTTTCCGATTCTGACTCATGCAGCCTGAAACCTGCCAAAAGATCTTGCGAAGGGCTTGCCAGCCTGGCTCCTCAAGACATCGCACTCCTGGTGGCTCAAGAATCCATCCGCCACCTCAGCCGCAACATACTTCCAGGATGCCCGCCCGCATGGCGCGTTTCAAGGGCCGAGCGTAGATCCTCGGGAACTCCGACAACACCTGGCGGAGATGATGTTTGTTTCGTTTGGCACAGGGGTCAGTCAACGAATGGCTTTCTCGACCACTGCCAAAGCCGCTTCTGTACGTTTCGTGGCCACCCGGGACACAACTTGGGCCCCAGGCCCGCCACTCGCTGGGAGATGATGGAAGAGCTGCTAGGGCGGCTGATGGTCTGGGCACATGGCAATCAAAACCGCGAGAGCGCGGCCATCCAAATAGTTGCATTTTGCGGGCTTCACTGGGAAAATCCTTTGGAGCAAAAATAAGTTTCGAACATCCCGAGACAAATGCGCTCCTCACGCAAAGGGGCCTGATTGTGCCACTTCAACATGATTCTCGCCTATCAATTCGGGCCCTTTCACACCTCAAGCCAGCTGTGGGTGTTCAAATCGCAGGGCGGCCGCAAAAGGGCCAGTGCTTTTCCACCTGACGCTGAATTCGCATTCTGACGCTGCATTCCAAAAACCTGTGACGCCGCATTCCCTGACGCCACATTTTCCCCTGAAGCCGCATTCCCGGCTGACGCCGCATTCTGACGCCACATTCCCTGACGCTACATTCCTCCCTGACGCCGCATTCCCGGCTGACGCCGCATTCCCGGCTGACGCCGCATTCCGACGCCACATTCTCTGGCGCAAGATTTTCGGCTGACGCCGCGTTGTGACTCCGCATTCCCTGACGCCACATTCACCCCTGACGCCGCATTCCTGGGTGACGCCGCATTCCGACGCCACATTCCCTGACGCCACATTCCTCCCTGACGCCGCATTCTTGGCTGACGCCGCATTCCGACGCCACATTCCCTGACGCCACATTCCTCCCTGACGCCGCATTCCCGGCTGACGCCGCATTCCGACGCCACATTCCGTGACGCCACATTCCTGGCTGACGCCGCATTCTGACGCCACATCCCGCCCCTTTGGACCGCCGTGCTGGTTTCCAAGACTTTTGTATGTACAAGGAACTTGAACCCTTGCCCTGAGGCTACAACTTTCGACGACAAACGCATCCGCAATTCCCACTCCCATATTTCGCGCAATAGAAGAAGCGCCCATTACCTTCCCGATCTCTATCCGAATGACGAGCGTTTTTCACAGCTGATGCATGCAATGTGTCAGGCGCAGCTTGCTTTGAAGCGCGGTCGAAAGTTCAAGCTATCATCGCTGGTCGAACATCCTGCTATCGTCGTCGCTCGAAGGCAAATCCTGCTCCAGGAAGGGCGCCGTAGTAGACAGTCCATCTGTGTCGCGCCCGGGCAGCTGTCCGGCGACCCTCAGTGACGCACCCCGTACGGAAAATTCACGAGACCTCTTGTAGACCCTACTGTTGCTGATTTGCGTCAACTGCTTCACACGAGCATCTCCAGAATAGTAGTCGCCGATGACGATACTGTACGGAAACAAGAAAACATTTTGTGGTGATAAATGCAAGTCTCATGCAAATACTTTTGGTTTGCCCAGGGTGTACCGTGCACGACGAGTACCACCACGGCTGGCCATGATATCATTCACGACCAGTATCACGATCCCGCTTTGTATATAACTGCAAATTCCAGCTGATCCCCCACGTAGAGGAAGTCGTAAAGAAAATGCTTGATCACCAGTGTGATGCTTCTGTGATGGCCTTTCTACTCGCCCTCCACCGGAACCTTTCTAACAGAGAATCTGGTGTCTCCTCGGTGCGATTGATCTTCTCGATGAAGCGCGAGGGTGAATAGCACCATTGGATAAGAGGAGTGTCGACCTCTTTGACGCCCTGAATGCAAATGATGGCGCCAAGCTCAAGTCTCAAGAACTTGCGTCCAATGTTCACATCTGTTCGGTAGAAGGTCATGTAGTCGCAGTTGAGGCCGAGGGCGATGCAACGGAAAATTGTGTCGCTGACGAAGGCAACGTCCTTCTGATGGCTGACACCTCTGAACTGCTCTGCAATAAAACAAAGTATATTGCAAGCGGTCCAAATCCGGTACATGATGTATAGCCCTCTCAGCTTCAGGAACCAAAAGAACATTTCTTCCTCCCTGTGGCTTGCGCTTTTGAACCTCACATTCTTGAACTTAGGAGCGGCAGTGACCTCTTCATAGGTTGGCGGGATTGGAATATTCTGTTCATCAACATCTTTGAAATCCAATCGTCTCTCCCGTTGATCGAGATGTAGGGACAGTATAGTTCGCCTTCTTTGCCAGGTTCCTTGACCACATCTGCCTCGTTGTTGGCGAACACCTTCCATACTTTGAAAAGTACGACACCAATGAATCCAGAGAGGTATATGATGCCTCGCCGGCTTCGTCAACGCAGATGGCCTTGACTTGCAGGACAAACTGGGTTGTCCGGACAAACTGGGTTGTGCGGACAAACTCCCGCGTCTTCATCGTCGATGTCCGTCCCGATATCCGACGGGATGTACGATCTGCCTGCAGATCGTTCCTCACTCATCTCCTGGGTGTCGGGTCGTTCTTCCTCGGCGACGAATCGCTCAGCATCTTCCTTTGCTTCTCGCTGAGCTTGTTTCACTTCCTCTGTCACATTGGTGGTGTCGGATGGTTTTGGCTCGTCGTCATCCACATGGGCTACGAACTTGCCGGTGGAAATGAACTCACATTCGCATGCCGCGCAGTAGCAAAATCCCCTTGGAATAATGATAGTGCACGCTGGGCATACTCTGTTGGAAATGCTTGATGGGTCGTCCTCGCGGTAGACGATGAATCTGCTGAGCAAATCCGTGATCTCTACCAACGATTTGCCCAGCAAGGCTTCGGGCACTCCGATGTTGACGCAAGCATCGACGACCATCTTCTTCAGGACGTCGGCATCCGCTGAGTCTTCATCGTCCAGGAAACTGTTGAGGTTTCCAAGAAAGTCTGCCGGGGTCACGCCCGCAGCGTGCTTGAATCCTGGACAGATCTCGCTCTCGACGGCGCGGGAGTAGATCCGCCTAACCTCTTTCACAGGCCCTTTCTTCGTGGACTTGAAGCTCCAGATTGCCCTTATCTCTTTGAAGGGAATGGTCTCGAAGGCAACGATCGTTCATCCCGATGTGACCCCTGACTGGTACACGGACAACTTCCTTGGCACGTAGATGGCGATGAGGTCATCTCCCTCTTTGACATCGCAGTCTTGGTCGAGATGTTTTCGCTGTCCCAAGGTGCAAATACTCCGAAGTGTACTGCCAGCCTTCGCGCACTGTCATTGCCGCCAGGAACGATACCTCTCAAAATGATACCTTCCAGGGCTGATGGCTTTGTCACGTGAAATGCTCCGCCCAAGCGATCGGACATGTTCGGGAACAAGATGTTGCAAAGTTCAGCAGGACGAGCGAATCCGAGATCCGAATGCCCTGATGACGCTCGAATGCACCATGGTTGCCACCATCCGCCATGCTCACGACAAATCCAGTCAATGTCGTTCTTCGCCCATCCAGCCGCTAGACCTGCCATCGTCTCCATGTCGATATCCTGATCAAACTTCGCAGCAAGGATCTGCAGTCTCGGCTTTCGTGCTTGCTTTCTGATTCTCCGATCTGATGCACTCGGCAACCGTTTGAAATTTGTCGCTCTTCTTGCACCGATCCTGCGGGAACGCGCTCTTGCGACTCAGGATGTGGTCGATGTTCACCCATCCTCCGCCGTTGCAAGGAATGGAGTTTCCCCACTTTTGTCCAATTTGATGTCGTAGGATCTTCACCAGTGCTTTTGACGTGAAATATAAACCTTGATGGTGAATGTTGGACCCAAACGCTGTGTACTCATTGTACGGCCGATAGGGAAAGCGTGTGTCTCTGTTCTGCATGTTCATGACTTCTAAGTGTAATCCCTTTGGCAGCGTGCTGGTCATACATGAATTTCCTTGTACACCTTCGCAATCTGCCTCATCACCGGGTTGAGGAATCACAGAGGAGCTTGCTCCACCAAACGAATCGAGCATGCGGTTGTACTCCTTCATGGTTCCGTTCGGATTCGTGCGTAGGTCAAGTTGACCAACATGGAGTTCTCCTCCTTCTGCCAAATCAGCCATCTTGGAGAGGTTCACGACGTAGTTGTACTCGGCGCCTCCGCTTCCGGTTGACGCGGTTTGTCAGGTTCGCTGGACATCGGAGCCATTTCTTCATCATCATCATCAGGAGCCTCCATTTCGATGTCTTCATCGGATGAGGGATGCCCTTCTGGAAGAAACAGCATTGTGATCTTGCCACGTGCCGAGTCAAACTCAATTGCTCTGGCAATGTTTTTGCAAGTCCCTTCGTGGGATTCTTTCCCGCGCTTCATGCAAACCTGCAGTTTGCCAGCGCGATCGCAAAGATCCTCAAACATCCGCAACAATTCTGCTCGTCTTGAGGCGATGTCCTCGACTCTCGACTGTTTGGCTTCGGGCTCCTCGGCATCATCGGGTTCACGACCACGATCAGCTTCGTCCTCGTCGGACTCGCCCGCTTTCCTCTTTTGGCCTGATGAACCGGCTTCCTTGATGTTGATGAACGGGTTCGAGTACTCCAGTCTGTCCATGATGTCCCTGACGGTCTTGCTGGGAACTTCCATGTGCTTGACTGTGCCGCTTCTCTTCCTGTTGAGGCCCGTCATGTGAGAAGTCATGTTCTCCCTGACGGTCGGTATTGGCAAACGTTCCCCCACTTTGGCAATTCCTCCGAAGTAGGATATGACGTCGAATAACCCGAGAACGGTCTCCAGTCCATCTCCCAACTTCTCTTCATTGTCGGTGGAGAAAACTCGATATGCCTGTTCTTGACCCATGAGCCAACGCATCCACAGGGCGTATACAGCGTTTCCATAGTCGCGCCATACACGGAATGTGGTCTTCTTCTCCTTCGTTCCATCGGAATGGGTGACGATGTACGACAGCTTGTCAACCCACAGTTGCTTCCCATTGCTACTGCGGAAGTAGTCTGCGAAAGAGCCCTTATCAAGTGTGATGCCACCGATCTGCGACAGCTCCTTCGCGAACTTCTTGTTGAACAGACTCACGATGAGGTGTTGCACGAAAGTTTCCATGTCCCCATCGAAAGCGCTTTCAGGCTCGTTGATGTCACCGAGCACCAGGCTGCAGTCAGCAAAGAATCTTTTCATGATGTTGGGGCGGTCAGCCCCTTTGTACATGGTATTTTGCTCGATCAGCCCGTTCGCGCGGCAGTTGATACATGTATCCGCATTGTACTGAT